CTTTATTGAGTCCTATTTTCCAACTCTAGTTAACAGCAGTACTTCGAAAGATTCCCTTTCCCTTATGTTTTACTGTTATTACGTGTTTTTCTCAAAAATATTGACCTTCAACTATTCAGTGTACTTTTTTGTGACCATTTGTCTAAAATATGGCCTTAATATTGTCGATTTCAGGTAACTTTTTAACACGCTGTTCCCAAGTTGCGGGAACAAAGTTCCCAACAGCTGCGGCGAGAACTTCTCAACGAAGTTTGCAAGTTCATTTCAAGACAAAGTTCGAACTTTGATTGTAAACAGATGTTCATAGATATAGTTGGAGTTGAAATCACTGTATAAGGCCACCTATGCCATAGATTAAGTAAGTATATACTTCATCTGTGCCTATGCACATATTACTGCAGAGTGCAGTAAAATATTGTCCAGTGGTCTCCCAAGACGAAAAATGCCTTTTAAAATAAATTTCTAAATGAAATTTTTACATTTGTTTACAATCGAAGTTCGAGTTGAACCGCGCTTTGAAAAGTAATATGAAATCGACAATAAGGTCAAATCAGGCCACGAATTTCCCTGAAATCAATCGACGGCAATGGCGTTAAAAATTGCCGTAGAACGTAACTGCTGTCTACGGCAATTTTGGCAGTTCCACGGCATTTTTCAAATTACTGTAATAAAAGTTTAATTTTATTGTGCATGTTACTTTGTAGAAACATGTCTAGGTATTTCTTTAGTTTTTTTTTCGAAGAAAACTGAGAAGAGATAGATAGAAAAGATAGTGATTTACGCATGATTTGATCAACATCTGAATTCAAGTGCCAAAATAGTAACGCACAGTGAATAGTATAAAAATTGCACTATACGGCAAAAAATTGTCGTCGTTGCCGCAATGATTCACGGCATTTTTTTCTCCCTCTACGGCAATTGCCGCGATAAAATTCAACTCCTGGGTCAAATGTTAGAACAGAATTCGATGCTCAGAATGCAGGAAACGGCGTTTCCGGGGTTCAAATTTCAAAAATTTTCCGGGGGGGCATGCCCCCGGACCCCCCTAGATCTCATGGTGCCTCCAAAATCTAGTATTATGCTACAGTCAGATTTTTTGCTGCATCCGCCCCTGGTACTGTTTGGGACAATTGTTCCAAAGAACAACTCATCAGATTACTGAAAATCCAAAAACGATGTGCAAGACTGATACTCAATGCTAATTTCCGCGATAACTCTGTCAAACTATTTACAGAATTAGAATGGCTGCCAATTTCCGACACTATAAACTGCCGAAAGCTTTAGATGTTACATAAAATTCGTTTAGGGCATTGCCCAGATTATTTTTCGGAATAAATACGTTATCTGAAAGATTCGCATAATTACAATACTAGAGCATCAACCAATAGAAATGCTGTAATACCTACTTACAAAAAGGTATCAGGATCGCGAATGTTTCAAACAAGCGCAATTCGCCTCTGGAACACTGTTGAAGTTTCTCTCCGAGACATGCTCTCGCACAAACAATTTGTGAACAAATTAGAACAGAAGCGTCTACTAAAGAACGCTCAATTGCAACACTTTAGAATAGAGCCTACATTTTAGTATATATTTTTTCCTAAATTGTATTTATATATATATATTGTAGACAGGAGGCCCATAATGAAAACTATTGGGAAACGAATAATGTATGTTAGCCTCGTTAAATAATGTCATATTATTATTATTATTATTACCGGAACACTCTATATTGTTGAACTTACAGTTGGCTTCGAATCAAATCTTCAAAAAAACGTTGAGCGTAAAAAATCAAAATAAAATAATTAATTAGAGAACAAAATGAACATTTCAACTCAGTAAAATTTGTAAATCTTTCGATTAGTTCTCTTGGTGTTTTCAGTAAAGAATGTTCTACTTTCATAGAAATGCTTAATGATTTTGGTTTTCAAAAGCAACATCAGAATTCCTGTATTAGAAGAATGACGACGATTGCAATCAGAACAACGTATTATATATTTTGTTGTCGAAACAAGGAATGGATGAATCCGGAACTGTTAAGTGTTTAAACGTTGTACTGTCATTTTGTTATCTTAATAGTATAATTTTTGCATATGTAATCAGTGATTTAAGTAGCCAGTTGTAAATTACCTGATATAAGTGAGATTTTCAATTGTATATATAAGCTAAATATCCATTTAATAAAGTTTTCATTATTTGTTAAGTCAGGACCTTGTAATAACTGCATATTCAGAGATTGGTCTTTATACTTTGCAGCACAGTCAAATACAACCCTTACTTTCTCTGGTTTCAGGCGATGCGTGACTGGTTGGTGAGGTAAGTACCATACTTTGCCATTGTTTACTTCCAGCTCTTCTTCTAGTACCCTTTCGGCGTGCCCCTTATCAATATAATCTTGCATAGCGTCCTTATACTTGACGAATAACTCACTATTCTTCTGCAATCGACGTTTTAACGAATGAAGACGTTTCTCAGCCATTGGTCTATTATTTGGGATCACCACGGGTTTCTTTCGCCACGGAAGTGCTACCTGGAAATGACCATCCTTCCTTTTCAACGTTTTCTCCATTATTTCTACGGCTCTCTTATCTTCAACCGATAGATTTGATTCGTTACTTCGTACTGTAGACTCGTTGAAGTCCGTGTTCCAAAGATGCTCTAGCTGGCGCCCTAGCAGATCATCTTCATTTGTTACTCTTTGATCAACGAACATGCAGTTTTCTAGCCCAAATTTATTGTACTCATCTTCTCCTTTATCTATATCTTTAATGGTGACATTGCCCGAAAGATTTTCCTTGGTGCCAAAGTCATTGTTCATTCCGAGACCACTATTGACATTCTTCGTTCATGCAAAATTCACAAGACAATTGCGCGTTTCTTTAGCTCCACCAACAGGACCCATTACTGTCCATCCCAAGCTATATTGAATGGCAATTGGTTCTTCGTCACCGCCTTCTCGAACTTCCAAAGGTAGGAATAAACGTGGTCTCTCTTTTAAATCAATCAATAGTAATACTTCCCCCATCAACTAACTCGGGGATTTCAATATCCTTTAGATGCGGCCATCTTTCCAAGTCAATCTTCTTCGGTATGCAGCCCTTTGACACTGGCATTTGTTTCACCGTTTTCACTTTCGATAACTCAACAGCAGTACTACCATCAAGCGACTCAACAACAATATTTATGCTTTGGCTTTCCACCTCAGTTGTTCCATTTATTCCCGTTAAGGTAAATTTCAATTTGTCACCGTCCAGTCCTAGGGTTTCCATTAATCGCTCATGACACAAAGTCACCTCTGATCCGTTGTCTAACAACGCGTACGTTTCCACTTCATGACTACTATTGTGACCCCGAACACGCACTAGAACCACTCCGAGGCATACTCTTTTCTCCCCAGCTCTAGTTGCTGCAACTGAGCCATTAGGTTCTCCGTTTACTTGTTGCACACTGTCTCCGGCCCCATCTTCGTTCTTAGTTCCTGATTTCACCTCCTTCTGTTTCATTTTATCTCGCTCCGTCCCTGAACCCTTCGTATGATGCAACAGTGTGTGATGCTTAGCACCACATTCAGCAATTCTGCACTTAAAATTGGTCTTGGAACAGTTCTTGGCTCCTCTTTGCAGAACTATTCTTTGCCTTTCATTCAACTCCATTTTCTTGAACGTATCACATCTCCATACACGATGTGGCCCAGAACAAGCTTCGCAACTCAATGGTTGTCCACCTCTATTCACTTGGTCGCCTTTCGATCCAGCTGCAAATGACGATATTCCATTATTTTTGTTTTCTTCCCTTCGTTTCCAGATCCCCACGTTTCTATTAGCCTTTGTTCTCGTACTAACCGCCATGTCCGTTCCAAATTCATTGTTTACCAACTTCGCTCTTTGCTGGACAAACTTCTGAAAGTCTCCAAACTCTGGTTTTCTACCCTCTTCGATGATACTCCCAGCCTTTTCAGTCCACCCAGCTCTGAGATACATGGGAAGTTTCTTCGCTAGCTCTCTCAACGTATTCATATGATTTAAATCTGATGTATACGACGCACCCATTCCCTTTAGGGTCCTTTCGGCTTTATTTAAATGCCTCGAGAATTCCAACAATGACTGAACATCTCCAGACTTAAGGCTAGGTAAGTCCACTAGTTTCTTGATATGAGCCATGGCAATAACATGAGGCTTCCCAAAATGCTCATGAAGAGTCTCCTTTGCTACCCGGTACCCATCACTAGCTGCTAGGTTTACATAGCTCTCGATAGCCTCACTCGCCTTTCCAGTGCAGTGCTGTATCAGCAGCTGTAACTTTCTTGAGTCATCTGGATCATCTCTTTCTAA